AAGCTGTGTCCTGCATACATCAAACTGAGAGCCTTCCTCATTCTGGCCCTCTAGTCTTCTTCACATTCTTTCTGCTTCCCCAGTTAACAGTGGGAAAATTGAACTCTCACATCCCAATGGTGGGTCAGCTGGTTTTAGAACTCCTAACTTCTTAGATCTTCGTTCTTAGCCAACTAGACATAATCCTAATTTTACTGCAATACTGCTTTGATCAAATCCATAGTTTGATTGCAATCCTGGAAGGGGTGAAATTCCATCTCAGTCTGTATTGTTAGATTTTATATTACATGCTAGGCAGCAAGGTTTAGGATGGAGAGAAATAATTTCTTATTGTTTTCCCTTCCTCCTAAGCTAGGGACTCACAAGGGAGGCTGTAAAATTAATAACAAAGATTATCCTATAATCGCTTTCTACGTGCCAGGTGCTGAGCTGAGGGTTTACATTTAAACCTTGAATCTTCAGTAGACACCATTTTACAGATGCAGAATTAGAGGCCCAGAGATTACGGGACTTGCCTTCAGTCCGACAGCCACAGGGAGCAGAACCAGTCAACCCAGGCTGAGCTGACTCCAGAGCTGCATTTCTGGCCACCATGATACACTGCCTGCTGGAGAGAAACTGTAAACACATCACACATTTTCCTTCTGCTGCAGGTTCTCTGAAATGACATCTTTGCCCTGAAATGAAAGCTGGTCAGAACATACAGTCTGAGCATGAGGGTATGGATGTGGGGTGAGAGTCAGCACGGACAGTGTTACAATCCTCTCCCATGTGGGGCTGGGTCACTATCTGTGAGTGATGAGCCCGTCAGGCTCAAGGCCATGCTGGGAAAACAGCACCCCTGGGAATTGGGGGTGGGGCTGCAGGTCACCTCCAGAGTTGAGAGCAGCTCTTTCCCCCCTCCTGAGAAGGAACTGAGAGACACCATTAACTCCTAACTAAGGTGTCTTGCCCTTTTGCAAGTGCCTGGCACACAGCATCATGATAAATAATTTATTGACTGCTTACTATGGATCAGGTACATTAGCTCACTCAAATCTGTCTTGCCAGCTTCAGAAATGTCTTAAGCAACATGTCCAGTGTCTCACAGAGAAGTAGTAGAATCAGGGTTTGAATCTAGAGCTAGAGCTATTGTTTCCCTCAACACGTGCTGTTTCATTATGTCCACGATGCTGGACAACAAGGCTTCCAGCCCCTGAGGCTCCTTTCCTGGAACCTGTCCCATAAAAAAGGCCCTGATTCTCCTTCTTACTCTTTCTTTTCTGCCAGTGCCCTGCCCGCCTTTCTGTCTCCCCTGTCTGACTACATGGCCAAGGTCTGCTCTACTCTTTGTACAAGCACTTAGGGCCAATGGGGTCTCTTGTTGTTCCCATCCCAAAGTTGCTTTGTTTGGGAAAAACAAGTTCTGTTTCTACTGGGAGCTCATGTTTGGGAATAACAGTCTTTATACCCTATCTTCCCATCACCTAGCATCCTGATCCTTTGGGGAACTCATGGTGTAGAATTTGTTTAAAGAAGTAATTTAGACAGAGGGTCTTCTGGCCCAAGGGCAAGAACTCCAGACTCTGTTCCTGGCTTTGCTACTGGCTGCTCTTCAGCTTCTTTACTTCCCATTCTCACGTTCTCTCTCTGCATTCGTCTAGAAAGAAAGGACCCTCCAGGGGACAAAATGATGAAGAAAGAGATGATGTCCAAAGAAATCCTTGCATTCCTAAGGAAAAATAAATGTTCCTGTGAAATGAAACAAAATAGTGCAGGCAAAGCTTTCAGCTACTGCCTGGCACCTGGTAGATGCTCCAGGCCATATGAGGCATCAGGGAGATGACTGTGCTGAGGCCAGAGGTACCTACAGATTCTCCTGGGGTTGGCTGCTGGGAAGGAGAGGCTGGCAGGAGAGTGCTTTGCTGAGTTTGCCTGCAGGCTACAGTTGGTGGCATGCTTCAGCTCTCAGAAAAGTGGCCAAACTTGGACTTTTTCTGTATGGACACAGCATTGCAAGAAATTCTCGTTTGCATGTAGATGGGAAGCTTATTTTTCCTACAAGCTGCATGTCAAGACCCAGAAGAAAGGCATTTCTTAATAATGATTAATCAGCAGTATCTCAAAGAAGAAAGAAAAAGGAAGAAGTAAGGAAATGAGATGATAAGAAAACAAGTGGAAAAATGATCTTCCAAAAGTGGACCCACCCAGCAAACCTTTACAGCATTTCCTTTTAGCCACCTGCATAAAAGTGGCCAGCCTCTCCACATGGCACAGAGCCTCGAGGGAGGAGACCTAAGCCAAACTAGGAGCAGCTTGGCGGGCACCCTTCATCACCCTCATGACTCCAGGCCTTCCCAGCTGCAGGTAGGTGAGCAGCTAGTGCTCTGTATGGCCTATGATGTCCCAGGCACTGGGCATTTTGTAGGGTGGGGAGGGGTACTCCATATAGGGATGAACTTCCTCATACCTTATTTTCAATGAGAAGAGATGGAGAGTGGGAAAGAAGGGAAAAGGAAAGGGAGAAAGGGAAGAAGAAAGGAAGGAAGGGAGGAAGGGGGTAAGAATCTGCTTAAATTACTTACGTTTACTTAGATTAGTTGTTACTTGTTTGTTCCAGAAACTGGGCTGGGCACTTTATGACATGTTACCTTTTTTAAGCCTCATGATCCTTTGCAGTATTAGATCTCTTTTTAAATGTAAGGAGCACCACTGGTTCAAAACCAAACCCACTGCTGTTGAGTAGATTCTGACTCCTAGTGACCCTATTGGACAGAGTAGACCTGCCCTATAGGGTTTCTAAGGAGTACCTGATGGATTGGAACTGCCAACATTTTGGTTAGCAGCTGAACTCTTAACCACTATGCCACCAGCAGGGTTTTGGACCCAAAAAAGAAATGGTTTCCTATCTGGCTGGTGTCAGGGGAACGGCTGGGATCTCCAGTAGAGATGCCAGAGAGAAATGTCATCCGATTCGAGGGCAGTGCCATAGGTGGGGTAGGGTCTTGGTAAGCAGCATGGACTCAGGGTCAGCCTCTGCCACTTGCTGGCCATGCACTTTGGGCCAGTTACTCATCTTCTCTAACTGTTAGTTCTCTCATTAGTCAAATGGGGATAGAAACAGAACCTGGTTGTGACCATTAAATGGAATATCTGACACAAGGGGCATGCATAATAGAAGTGAGCTACTTGTTATCTGAAATGGCCAAAGTGTCTGGAATCTTTCCCCTCCACAGAATGTTTGAAAGGCTCGTGGCATGGGTAATGATGGTGAGGACTGTGCTGACGGAAGTTTGCTCTGCTTGAAGAAGAAATTGGGAGTGGGTGAGAGCATGCAATTTCCCACTGCTTCTGAGAAAAACTGTGTCCTTTTTCTACTCACTTGGCTTTCTAGAAGTTCCCCAGCCACTTCTGGAGTAGACAGAGCTCTGGGAGACTTTCTATAGACTTCTCTGCCAGTAGGGTCTCTTTCCTTGTTTTGCCAGAAAGCGAAGGTTGAAAGAGAGAAATCAAGGTCTTTGGCATAATGCTCGCCACATGGTAAGGCTTCAGTAGACACCTTCCCACTGACTGAAAATGATGCTCAGTTAAGGGGAAACAAGGTAAAAATGGTTCTTGAGGTGGGATTTAGAGTCCCTGGGTGGTGCAAACAGTTAATGTGCTCGATTACTAACCAAGTCCACCAAGAGGTGCCTTAGAAGAAAGGTCTAGTGATCGACTTTGGAAAAGTCAGCCATTGAAAGCCCTATGGAGCACAGTTCTGCTCTGACACACACAAGGTCACCATGAGTCAGAATCAACTCGATAGCAACTGGTAAATGGGATTTGCTCTTTCTTGGTCCTCTGAAGGAGGAGCCCAGGAGTCCCAAGGACATTTTGGGGAGTGGTGGTGGGGTGTGGGCAGAGACAACTGTGGTTCACATTCTCACCCTTACGTTCTTTATAGTTATGCTCTGAAGCCCCCTCAGCTGGCTTCCTATGTTTGCTGTTTCCCTCCCTGCCACTGCCCCCACACTGCACATACCCCACCACACACCCTGCTGCAAGGGACAGCTTGCTGGGTGGAGGGTTCTGGGCTGAGTAACAGTCAATTCGCACGTGTTGGCCTAAGATTTACCTTGTAAAGCTCAGTTCTATGGGTGAAGCTTGCATTAATGCTGGGAAGAGTTGGAGGAAGATTATTCCAGGAACTGTACAATTATGTTTGATGCACTTCTCTGTATGTGTATTGTATGACATGATCTGAAGTGGTTAAATGAAAAGAGGCAGAGAGAGATTGGCAGGAAGGGTGAGAGAGCTAGAAGAGGCAGCCAGCAGGTCAGGGGCTGGCCCCATCCAGAGACTAGCTGCAAACATGTCCCTCATACACCCTTGCTCTCTGCCTCTGCAGAGACGACCTTCCCCATCTCCTCACTGGGGCTAAGTAGTTATTAGGAGGTGTCTTGAGCCTCCATTTCCCATCTTCTCCAGAAAGCACGATCTGCATACTTGGTTTCAAACAAATGATTTGAAGCAGATACACATTGGGGGTGCATGATAAAAGGGTGTCACCTATTTCAGAGGCAAAGATAAAGAAACGAATGGGCTTTTGTTGTTTTTCAAATCCTTTGCCTAATTCCTAGGGCATATTACCAGCCCAGGGTTTCCCATTTAATTTATTAAAAACACGGCTTTTGGCCTCCGTTGATGATGTGAGCTGTGTTGACTCACGGTGGAGTGATAGGCACACAAATATGCTCCGTGGGACTGGGGAGAGCACTGTAGCGTGCTTTCTTGGGGTGGAGGTGGGACGTCAGGGCTGGGAGGAAAGGCCCAAATTCAGTTGATGCAGGAAAGCCAGAGAAGGAGACACAGGCCCTCGGAGGCCACCAGGCTGATGTGCTGAGCCTGTTTCTTGGGCACAGTGTGGCCTCCACTGGGGGTCCAGAGGGGAAGCCAAGCAAGATATCTATCCTCTTTTGTTGCTCTCCCTCTCCGCTGGGCAGCTACCTAACTTCCCCTCTTCCTGGACCCAGCAGGACATGAAGATACAGGGTGCTCCCCTCCATCTCCTGGGCGCGATGCTCTTCCTGTGCTCCGTGCATGCCCGAAGTCTCAAGAGATGTTCACCTTCCATGGACTTGAACCCTATAAAAGAGAGTTTCCAAGAAATCAAAGCCGCCATCGTGAGTATGAGTTTGGGGTTACGGTGTGGGCCAGAGGATATACGTCTCCTTATATCTTAGCTTGAGAAGCAAGTTCCTTCTCATTACCTTTTGTGTCTCGGGAGAATGTCAAGTACTCATCAGTGTGTCTGTTCTTATGTTTCCCTCCATAGCAAGCGAATGACACCTTCAAAAACATCATTATGCTGTCCAACCTGCACAGCATTAAGGTATTGTCTGTTCTTTGCTATATTTTTATCTTTACAGTGAATGGCGCTGGCCTGAGAATCCCTGCTCTACCCGTCTTAGTCATCTAGTGCTGCTATAACAAAAATACCACAAGTGGTTGGCTTTTAACAAAGAGAAATTTATTATCTCACTGTCTAGTAGGCTACAAGTCCAAATTCAAGGCATCAGCTCCAGGGGAAGGCTTTCTCTCTCTGTAGGCTCTGGAGGAAGGTCCTTGTGATGCATGTCTTCCTTGGTCTGGAAGCATTTCAGTGCAGGAACGGCAGGTCCAAAGGACACACTCTACTCCTGGCACTGCTTTCTTGGTGGTATAAGGTCCCCCTCTCTCTCTGATCACTTCTCTCTTTTATATCTCAGGAGATTGCCTCAGGACACAATCCAATCTTGTAGATTGAGTCCTGCTTTACTAACACGACTGCCACCCATCCTCCCTCAATAACATCATAGAAGAGGGATTTACAACATATAGGAAAATCACACAATACTGGGAATCATAGCCCAGCCAAACTGATAACACATTTTTTGGGGGACATAATTCAATACACGACAACTCCCTTCTCTTCCCTGATCTCTGGTGTACTCTAGAGGCACCAGGCTTCTCATCTGTCAACTGACGCATTAGGGCACGCTGATGCCCCAAGGACTTTAAGACTCTGGGTGGGATTAAAGAAGTGCCACTTACCACAAAGGGCCTGAGAGAGCTGGGGGCTCAAAGGTGACAGGGTTTCTGTGGCTTGGGATAATTCTGGAAGTCTTCATGGGGGAGGTGAGAAAATGAACAAGCGACTTTAAAGCTGACTAGGTTGTGGGTTTGTGGAAAAAAGAGAGGACGTGATTTTGGGAGCATAGGAGGATGGGTATAAAATTAGAGAAGGTAGGAATGTGTGCCAGAGGACAGTGAATGGGCCAGCCTTGCAGTGTGAGAAATGTGGAGGCGACTGGTGGGGGACGAGGTGGAAAGATACACTGGGGTCATTTTACAAGGATCTGGAAGACCAGGTTGAGCCTCAATCTTGTAATAGAGGCAGTAGGGAGTTACCGAAGGTTTTGGAGCCAAGATGTTATATGACTGCAAAATACTTTAAAAAGATAGTCTGGTAACGTTTTTGGACAGCTTGAGACAAGAAAGCCAGTGAGGAGATCAGTCAAACAGTCCAGACAAGATGTGATGTGAGCAAGTATGTTACAAAACAGTTGGCTTATGAGGTGATAATTCACTTTACAAAAGAGGCCACTGAAAGGTGCCTTTGAAAGTGAGCTCCTGCAGTGCTTGTTAACATTCTAGGAGCTTCCAGTGTTTTCAGATACGTATGTGACTGAGAATAAGGTATATCTGCAATGAGTTCCTTTCTCCTCAGGCTTCTCTGCATGCGTAAGAAACACCTTCATAATTCTTCTAGGGCAGTATTTGGCCTGATTTATTTGTGGCAAACAGATGTAGCCACTGACTGAATAATATTCCAGCCAACTGTAGTACAGACTCATAGGAAGGGACAGGTGGAAGGAACTCAAAAGATCATTTATTCCAAAATCATCATTTTCAAATGAGGAAGTTGAAACCCCGGGAGGGAAAATGACTAGTTAGTGGCTGAGCCGATGATAGACTCCCAAGTCTCAAGCCTCATCTCAAGGGTCGTCCCCTCTTCAAGTTCTACAAACAGCTAATGTGGGTAAGGACAGGATAGGTAAGGACTGAAGTGTTTGTCTTTTCTCCCCCCTCCCTCCTTCCCTCTCCTCTACCTTCCTTTCTTCGCTTCCTGTTTTCCTTTTACCATGTTCCTTTTTCTAGTAATATAATCTTTGAAGAAAACAGGTGTGTAACTTTTTGCCTCTTTGGTGAAGGGAGCCAGCAGGAGCAGGGGCAGAGAGGGTTTCTGTGTTGCAAGCAGATTTTGTCACCTAGGAAAAGCTGCCTGTGGGGCCAGGAGGCTTTGTTCCTTTAATGCTAATGAAGATGGTTGCGCTGTGCCCTGTAGATCTTCCCAAGTCAGACATTCTTAGGAGCTATAAATTATCCACCCAGTAACTTACTGGCCCTCAGGGCAGGGTGCAAACTGCTGGAAGGAAACTCAGCCTGGCCAGCTTGTCCGGGAAGCCTCCACTGGAGCCCTCAGAGAGTAGCGCACACTGCAGGTGGGAACCTACCCAGCCCACTGACTTCTGCAGCTGGCAGTCTCCGTTCTGGCAAACCTCAGCCCCATCCAAACGATGCCTGCAGTTTAAAAAGGACAAACAGGAGGAGACCGAGCAGGGTGGCCCACAATTGAGGGAAGACCTGCCTAGCACAACTCCTGGCATGCAATAGCTATTGAATAAATACGCGCTGATGGATGGGAGATGTACAGGGAGGCAGACTTCTGTGTAATATAAGGAAGTACTTTTCAAGAAAGCTGCTCAGCCCTTGGTCCTCTCAGAAAGAAGGCGCCTGATTCCTGGATTTAAACGGAAATTAGTGATGCCACGTCAGGGATGCTACAGAGAGAATTCTATCCTATGATTGGATTCTGGGCCCCATCCCTTGTTAATATAGTTCCTGGCCATACAAAATGAGGACTCTCTCCTCAGCACCTTCATCATAAGTAGCTTTGAAGTGGTAAAAAGGAATGAACACTCTGAGACCGTTACAGTTTTTAGAAAATGACCTTTAGTTCTCTTTCCTTGCTGCCCCTACCCCAATAGGCTGTTTGGTCTTTAAGATAATCAGAGAAGGGAACCTTTGGGGACTTGGCTCATCTGTGTCTGTAGCCCATAGATGCGTGCTGTGTGACCCGGGAACTCCTGGAATTCTACATGAAGAGCGTGTTCAAGTACTGTGAGAAGCTGAGCCTCCACATCTCCAGAGAAGTCAGCGGCATTTCCAATTCTTTCTTCTCCCTGCAGAGGACTATGCAGCCCTGTGTGAGTCACCCCCTCAGAATTCCAAGCATCTGTTGCCAGTCTGCCCCTGGAGGGCCCAGGACAGGCTGGCCCCATTCAGCCATCTGAAATGGCTTCTAGGGGAAATTCCCTGCTTTGCTGTCCACTGGAAGAGCTCTTAAGACCCTTTTCCACAGGTCACTCCCTCCCCAGGGCTTTCTGCCTGCCAGCACCTCACCAGACCTGGGTTTCCTGATGGATAATCCTTTGGGATGACCGGCTTATGTCAGAGTCTTCCTTAAGTGATGGCGGGGCTGAGGTGGGAGAGAGGCATGCCAAGGATCCCAGGCTTATCATAAACACACTCCAAGTTTCTTTGGCTGTTTTTTGGCCCTTTGGAGTTTCCATATCAGTTAACCTCTCAGTAAACCAAAACCAGTTGCTGTTGAGTCAATTCCGACTCATGGTGACCCCACGTGTGTCAGTGTAGAACTGGGCTCTGTAGGGTTTTCAATGGCTGATTTTTGGAAGTATATCACCAGGCCTTTCTTCTGAGGTATCTCTGGGTGGACTCAAACAACCAACTTTTTGGTTAGTAGCTAAGCGTATTAACCATTTGCCCCACCCAGGAACTGCAACCTCTTGGTAGTTCCGTGGTATAGCCTATCCCTAAGAACTACATATGAATTCTTCATGATCTAATAAAAATAAACATCAGAAATGAACAAAAGCAACAACAAAAGCTTAGCTCAGGAGAAAATCTGGGTTCTAGCCCCATCCCTACCAATGCTATCCTGTGTGACTTTGTGGCACATTACTTCACCTCTGGGCCTCAGATTCTAAAGCTGTTAGAAGGGGCAATGATGCCAATCAAATGGATTCATTTAACCAATTATATAATCAATTGACCCAAGAAATATTTGTTGAGTGCCACTCGTGAGGGTGTTGGGTTCACAGACTGGTGACAAGATAGACACGTGCCTGCTTTCCTGGTACCTGCAGTCCTGTGGGCTGTAAACCTGGAAAAGGTAAAAGGCCTGGCCAAACCCAGGGGGTTCGACAAACAGACCTGCCCTCTCTGGCGGCTCCTACCTGAATTCATCTTGGAACTCTCACCCTGGGAGGGAGGAGAAATGTTAACCCTCAAGCGGAGAGGTGGCGGTAGGGCTGGGTTGGAGTGGGAAGGTCCTCTGACCACGTTTCCCCCCTTCATCACAGAAGGAGCAGAGCCTGTGTCCTCGCAGTGGGGAAGCCACCAGTGCAATCAGAATCATCATCAACAACTATGATCAGGTACAGGCCAAGAAGAGGACGGAGGATGGGAGGTGCAAGCCTGACAGAGAGGGTGCCAATCTGATTCTCAGCCTCCTCTCCACGCAGACTCATTCATTCACTCCACAAGTATTCATTGCATCCCTTCCCAACTCTATCTATGTGCAAAGTGTATGGGTCTTAACCTCATTTGCTACTTCTCTAGAACCTCCTTCCTCAACACCCTTCCACCATTTCCTCATACTCTAACATAGCAGGCAGGGGCAGATTAGCCAATAGGCAAGGTAAGCACGGTGCTACTTTGCTTACCAGCTCATCTGCAGTGAATAATTTCACATGGGTTTCATCACATCAAAGATGTGAAATTATTCACTACAAATTAGTAAGTAAGCACAACTAAGGCAGTGCTTACTTTGCTTACTGGGTCATCCACCCCTGTCAGGGATTGTAAATTTGAAAAGAGGCTTTGATTCTGTAGGAAGGTGCTGTGAGGTTGGGAGAGAGATAGATGCCAGCCATACCTAGAAGCAGAATCTTTTTTTTTTTTTTTTTATTGTTGTACTTTAAGTGAAAGTTTACAATTTAAGTTAGTCTTTCACACAAAAATTTATATATACATTGTTTTGTGACCCTAGTTGCTCTCCCTGTACTGTGACAGCACACTCCTCCTTTCCACCCTGGATTTCCTGTGTCCATTCAACCAGCTCCTATCCCTTTCTGCCTTCTCATCTCCCCTCCAGACAGGAGCTGCCCATTTAGTCTCATGTATCTACTTGAGCTAAGAAGCACACTCTTCACGAGTATCATTTTATGTCCCATAATAGCGTCTAAACTTTGTCTGAAGAGTTGGCCTCAAGAATAGTTTTAGTTTTGGGCTAACAGAGAGTCCAGAGGCCATGTCTTCCGGGGTACCTCCAGTCTCAATCATACCATTAAGTCTGGTCTTTTTACTAGAATTTGAGTTCTGCCCTCCACTTTTCTCCTGTTCCATCAGGGGCTCTCTGTTGTGTTTCCTGTCAGGGCAGTCATTGTGGTAGCCGGGCACCATCTAGTTCTAGAAGCAAAATTTTTGATGTGGTGAAAAAACGTGAACTTGTTCACTATAGGTGATCAGGTAAGCAAGGTAAGCGCAGTGCTTACCTTGCCTATCGGATAATCTGCCCTGATATTAGGCCTAATCTGTGTTAAGCTATGGGTGGAAGCACATATTGTGTAAGAAGGGGTGATGCAGAGGGAGCAAAGGTGCCCAATGAATTGTAAGCTGGTGTGTGTGGAACAGGAGTCCCTGGTGGTGCAGTGGTTAAGGGCTCAGCTGCTAACGGAAAGGTTGGTGGTTCAAACCTACTAGGTGCTCCATGAAAGAAAGATGTGAGTCTGCTTCTGTAGAGATTACAGCCTTAGAAACCCTATGGGGCAGTTCTACTCTGTCCGGCAGGGTCGCTATGAGTTGGAATCGACTCAACGTCACACAATGACAACAACATGTGTGGAACAGGAGTCCCTGGGTGGTACAAACAATTAAGCACTCAGCTACTAGCAGAAAGGTTGGTGGTTTGAATCCACCCAGAAGCGTCTCAGAAAAAAGGCCTGGCGATCTGCTTCCGAAATGTCACAGACTTGAAAACCCTATGGAGCAGTTCTATTTTGCACACATGGGGTCACCATGAGTCAGCACCTACTTGATGGCAAGTAACAACAACAACAACATGTGTGCAATATGTTCTCTGCGGGTGTCACTGTGTCCTGTAGCTGTCGTTAGTCTTCTGTGTGGTGATGTCGAGGCTACTGTGCTTCTAAGACTTTAATATGCAAGTGAATCACTTAATGATATTGTAAAAGTGCAGATTCTGACTCAGTAGGTCTGGGGTGAGCCTGAGATTCTGCATTTCCCCCACACTTTCAAATGATGCTGATGCTTTGAATAGAAATGAGGTAGGGAGTCTGTTCAGGACTCTGCTTCTTCATGGAGAGGCTCTGTAGGATGTTATTAATAACAATAGCTAAGAGTCACATTGTTCTTACTGTGAGCCAGGTATTGTTCTAAGCACACTGCAAGATTTAACATAGGTAGTCCCTACAACAATGATATGAGGTAGGTATCATTATCTGCATTTTATAAATTAGGAAACCAAGGCACCAAAACAACAACATCAACAACAAACCAACCAAAATTTGCCATCAAGTTGATTCCAACTCATGGTGACTCTATGTGTGTCAGAGTGGAACTGTGCTCCCTAGGGTTTTCAGTGGCTGATTTTTCAGAAGTAGATCACCAGGACTGTCTTCTGAGGTGTCTCTGGGTGGGCTCGAATCTCCAAACTTTGGGTTAGCACCCAAGCGCATTAACTATTTGCACCACCCACGGACTCCTAACCAAAGCACAAACACATTAAATCCCTTGACTAAGTTCTCACAGCCACTAAGTGGTGGGGGTTGGATTCAATCCCACGCAGTCTAGCTTTTGGATTTTACCACCACCTAGTCTGCTGTGGAAGGACATGGAATAAGTCAGGAAACTTGGATTCTAGTTCCAGCTCTGTTACTAACCATCTGTGTGATGTTGAGTTAGACACTATCCTTTGGGGTTTCAGTACTTTAATGTCAAATGGGGACAACATACTCTATCTCCCCATTGCATAGCACCACTGGGATGAAGACTTCCTGGACAAGCAGAAGTAACAAACAAATTCGTGTGAAAAAGAAAACCAGAGGAGGAACTGACCAGTTGGGCAAGTGTACTGTGGAAGAAAGGGGGCAGAAAAGAGGGAAAAGAATGAAGAATTTTCATTTTGTTTATAAGGCGTTGACTTGATTTAACTGCTTGTTTGTGGAAAAAATTTTGGTTGCTGCTAGGAAAATAATTTTGAGTCTGCATGCTCTGCAGATGTATTTGATGAGTAAAAAGAAAGCCTCGTGCAGAGCAGAGCATACGAAAGGTGACCTAGAAACCATTACCGAGTCTATGAAGGCAGATTCTTATGATGGTTTCACTGGTTTCAGCTGGAGGTCCAATCGGCTGCCATCAAGTCCCTGGGAGAGCTGGATGTCTTTATAGCCTGGATTGACAAGAATTACCACTAAGAAACTTTTGCAGCTTGATGCCGAGAGAAGAACAGCCCCTGTGAGATTCCCTGTGGAAGACAAACCAACTTTGAAAAGGAGGGAGATGGGGAAGACTGCCATTTTTATGCAAATGAGAGTCTTTTTGAAGAAACCTCTCTGATTTGATGTTCTGTCCTCCATGGCTGGGGCATTGTAGGGAAACTTCTGGGTTTGAGCAGATCTCACCCTGCAGGTGAAAACCTCCCTGGCTGATCTCAGGCTGTCTGATTCCTCGTGAAAATAGTCAAGTAGTCAACTGTTGTATTTATAGTGAAATATGTCTGTTGAAAGGTCCTGCTGGCCCTCCTGGAAGGAAAGGGTTGGCTCCCTCTAATTTATTCTGAAGTTGTTTATTCCATGTCTGTGATGTGAACTGAGAAATATCCTGTAGTGCGTATTGTACTGACTGATTTTTCTGAATAAACTCTGTTCTTTACCGATTAATGGAAGTGTCTTCTGATTCAGGAAGGGTCGGTCAAGGAATCATAAATGGAGACTATTAGAAATAAAAGGGGCCTTCAAGAACATAAGTAGATGGGGAAACTGAGGACTAAAGAGGAATGAGAATTTACCCAGGTGCCCAAAGCAAGTTAGTGCAGAAAAGGGTTCTAAGGTGGGTCTCTAAATTCTCCACCCAGCATCCTTTCCTCCCAAAATAATCAAGGAGATGGGACTCAGGGCGTATGACCGCTGACTCCTGGACGTCACTCCATTTCTGATCTCCTTTCTTTCTCTGTGTCTCTGTCTTCTCTCTTAGTCTCTCTCCATCATTTCTTTCTTACTGTTCCCAGTCTTCTCTGACCCTGATCCATCCCCGTAGGAATATATGTAGGGCTAGGAAGAGGGTGGAGTCCCTGGGTGGTGCAAATGGTTAACACGCTTGGCTGCTAACTGAAATCTGGGCTGTTCAAGTTCACCCAGAGATGCCTCAGAAGAAAGGCCTGGTGATCTACTTCTGAAAAATCAGCCACTGAAAACCCTGTGGAGCAAAATTCTGCTCTGACACACACACGGTTGCCATGAGTCAGAGTCAACTCAATGGCAACGGATTTTTGGTAAGGAGGTGGTATTTCTGGACAAGGAATGGTTGTCATGGAGACAAAGCTGAAAAAGTACAGCCCACAGACATGGGATACCCTGGGTAGAGGGCCAGGTCTCAGGCTCCAGTGGAAAGAAGTCAGAATGGGCTCTAACTTCTAGACAGACATTCCTCAGATGGTTCAGAGCACAAATAATGACGATAACAGCTGGCATCGAACATCCACCATGTGCTAAGCACATGAGATAAGCACTTTATATGCATTATTCTGGGTCAAAATCTATACCATGAATGGCTGGCTGAAGCAACCTTTCGTTACTCCTACCTGGAGAAGAGATTTACAGAGCATGATTTAGTAGAAACAGCATGACCCCTGAAGTCAGTCTGACCTGGGTCCCAATCCCGGGTGACCTTGAACAAATCAAGGTCCGAGTTTCAGTGCCCTCTTCTGTGAAATGGAGCATCAAGGGAGGGAAAGGGTCTGCAGTAACCCCAGCAGGGTGGAAGGCTGCAGGGTCTAGTGTAAAGAGGGCCAACCCCAGAGCCACATTCTGCTTCCAAGACTCCTACCGTGAATTGCCCAGGCAGGTCACTAGATATTTTTGCTGTGAGTTGTCTGTAATGTGGATACTGACCCCTATACTATCCACAGTTATATGATGATATAAAACCAGAGTTACCACGATGGCTTACAAGGCCCTAATAGTTGTACCCTCTCTCTAGCTCAGTTTCCTTTGACTGTGTCCCCTACTGTTCTCCTGGCCCAGGCTCACTCCCACCCAGCCTTGATGGCCTACTTTGAGCTCCTCAAACATACCAGGCATGTTTTCACCTTAGGGTGAGATGAACACACACACGTGTACACACACCCAACTGAGGAAAAGTTTAAAAAAACTCCACATGTTAGACTTTAATGGGATTAATAGGCTATTAATGGGAAGCACCACAACCGTCTGTCAGTGGCTTGCATGTTGCTCTGATGCTGGAAGCTATGACACTAGTACTTTAAATACCAGCAGGGTCACCCATAGTGGACAGATTTCAGCAGACAGAGTCCAGATTAAGACAGACTAGGAAGAAAGACCTGGCAATCTACTTATGAAAATTAACCAATGAAAACCTTATGGATCACAACAGGATATTTTCTGATATAGTGCTGGAAGATGAGTCCTCTACATTAGAAGGCCTTTGTAATACACAGTGGCTGCAACAATGGACTCGAGCACCAATGATCATGAAGATGGCTCAGGACTGGGAGACAGTTCATTCTGTTGCACGTGGGGTCACCGTGAGTTGGCGCCAACTCGACAGCTCTGAGAATATATAACAACAGGGACCAAGTATAAAATCTTCTCCAAAACCATACATCCTGAGACCTCTATCAGCCCCACTGAGGCACCACTGAGAAATCTAGGGCTCACCTTCAACCACTAAGGCACAAACAGAGGGATTCCATACCCCGTGCAGGCACTGTACCAGGCACTTTACGTATATGATCTCATTCAAGCCTTTGAGAAACCCAAGGAGGTTGGGTTTTTCATCCCCATGTGATCAGTGAAGGCATCTGAAGCTCAGGGAGGTTGTGGGACCTGCCCACTGCCACATAGCAGGTCTAGGAGGTGAACCTAGGTCAGATGGTCCTGGCTCCACTGCTCCTTCCCTTACTGCTAGGGGAATTGACTTTGTTCTGGCTGAAGTAATATAACCTAGGGCCCAGGTTACTACACTGTATACTAGCAATGCAGATAACTAAATCCAGATGCACAAAAGGGACCTGGATGTACTAGCAATAAGCCAATGAAATTATACCACAAATTTATGGACCGACATGGGGCAAAGAACAGAGGCTGACTTCTGAATGTGTCACACAATGTTCCTGGTCCTGGCTGACCCTGGCTGAGGGTCTGGGTTTTTCCTGGGGATACTCTGTCTTCCCTCCATCTTCAAAGCAAATTGCTGACAGCCACGCATGCTCAGGGCAGCTGTCTCTTAGAATCATGGACTTGCCCAGAAGTTTGGCCCAGTGGATAAGAGGATAGGCTTTTAAGTGAAATCCTGGTCATGCTTACCATATGACTTTTAACAACTAACTTCACCTGGGCCTCAGGTTCCTCTTCTGTATAAATGAAGCAGATATCTGCCTCATGGGATTATTATCGCGATTCAGTGCATAGTACGTAGTAGGTGCTCATTAAAAATGATGGTGGTTTAATAGCAAAGAGATGGAAACAACCTAGACGCCCATCAACAGATGAATGGATAAGCAAACTATGGTACATACACACAATGGAGTATTACACAATGATAAAGAACAATGATGAATCTGCAAAGCATCTCATAACATCGATGAATCTGGAGGACATTATGCTGAGTGAAATGTCGATCACAAAAGGACAAATATTGTATGAGACCTCTACTGTAAAAACTCATGAAAAGGTTTACACACAAAAAGAAACAATCTTTGATGGTTACGAGGGA